CTTTTGTCTGTCTCATAAATATGCAAGATTACAGGCATGTCTTGCTACTTCTACTTACACTTAGGTCACACTACACATACATGTACACATTTATTTATACACACTCATCTGAGTTTTCTTTGATTTTATCTTAATAGTTCTTGGTCTTATTAATTTTCCTTTTATATCTATGGGGAAGTGGAATAAGAATCTTTCCTCCGTAAGCCATGCGTGTTGTAAAAGTCAACTAAAATGCCGGGAACAATGGGTTAGTAACCCCTTTTCCTGTAAAGATTACTAAAAAGAATAAGAAGAAAATTGTCAAAGTGGGAAGTCTGAATGTGCGTGGATGTTGTGCAGATGATAAGAAAGAGATGATTGTGGATGTTATGAATGAGAAGAAGCTGGATGTCCTGGCTTTAAGTGAAACAAAGCTGAAGGGGGTGGGAGAGTTTCAGTGGAGAGGAATAAATGGGATTAGGTCAGGGGTTTCAAATAGAGTTAGAGCTAAAGAAGGAGTAGCAATAATGTTGAAGGATAAGCTATGGCAGGAAAAGAGGGGCTATAAATGTATTAATTCAAGGATTATGTGGAGTATAATAAAGATTGGATGTGAAAAGTGGGTTATAATAAGCGTGTATGCACCTGGAGAAGAGAGAAGTGTAGAGGAGAGAGAGAGATTTTGGGAAATGTTGAGTGAATGCGTGGGGAGTTTTGAATCAAGTGTGAGAGTAATGGTGGTTGGGGATTTCAATGCTAAAGTGGGTAAAAATGTTATGGAAGGAGTAGTAGGTAAATTTGGGGTGCCAGGGGTAAATGTAAATGGGGAGCCTTTAATTGAGCTATGTGTAGAAAGAAATTTGGTAATAAGTAATACATATTTTATGAAAAAGAGGATAAATAAATATACAAGTTATGATGTAGCACGTAATGAAAGTAGTTTATTAGATTATGTATTGGTGGATAAAAGGTTGATGGGTAGGCTCCAGGATGTACATGTTTATAGAGGGGCAACTGATATATCGGATCATTATTTAGTTGTAGCTACAGTTAGAGTAAGAGGTAGATGGGAAAAGAGGAAGGTGGCAACAACAAGTAAGAGGGAGGTGAAAGTGTATAAACTAAGGGAGGAGGAAGTTCGGGTGAGATATAAGCGACTATTGGCAGAAAGGTGGGCTAGTGCAAAGATGAGTAGTGGGGGGGTTGAAGAGGGTTGGAATATTTTTTAAAAATGCATATTAGAATGTGGGGCAGAAGTTTGTGGTTATAGAGGGTGGGGGCAGGAGGAAAGAGGAGTGATTGGTGGAATGATGAAGTAAAGGGTGTGATAAAAGAGAAAAAGGTAGCTTATGAGAGGTTTTTTACAAAGCAGAAGTGTTATAAGAAGAACAGAGTATATGGAGAGTAAAAGAAAGGTAAAGAGAGTGGTGAGAGAGTGCAAAAGGAGAGCAGATGATAGAGTGGGAGAGGCACTGTCAAGAAATTTTAATGAAAATAAGAAAAAAATTTGGAGTGAGTTAAACAAGTTAAGAAAGCCTAGGGAAAATATGGATTTGTCAGTTAAAAACAGAGTAGGGGAGTTAGTAGATGGGGAATGGAGGTATTGGGTAGATGGCGAGAATATTTTGAGGAATTTTTAAATGTTAAGGAAGAAACAGAGGCAGTAATTTCATGCACTGGTCAGGGAGGTATACCATCTTTTAGGAGTGAAGAAGAGCAGAATGTACTGTGGGGGAGGTACGTGAGGCATTACGTAAAATGAAAGGGGGTAAAAGCAGCTGGAACTGATGGGATCATGACAGAAATGTTAAAAGCAGGGGGGATATAGTGTTGGAGTGGTTGGTACTTTTGTTTAATAAATGTATGAAAGAGGGGAAGGTACCTAGGGATTGGCAGAAAGCATGTATAGTCCCTTTATAAAAAAGGGAAAGGGGACAAAAGAGACTGTAAAAATTATAGAGGAATAAGCTTACTGAGTATACCAGGAAAAGTGTACGGTAGGGTTATAATTGAAAGAATTAGAGGTAAGACAGAATGTAGGATTGCGGATGAGCAAGGAGGTTTTAGAGTGGGTAAGGGATGTGTAGATCAGGTGTTTTAAATTGAAGCATATATGTGAACAGTATTTAGATAAAGATAGGGAAGTTTTTTTTGCATTTATGGATTTAGAAAAGGCATATGATAGAGTGGATAGAGGAGCAATGTGGCAGATGTTGCAAGTATATGGAATAGGTGGTAAGTTATTAAATGCTGTAAAGAGTTTTTATGAGGATAGTGAGGCTCAGGTTAGGGTGTGTAGAAGAGAGGGAGACTACTTCCCGGTAAAAGTAGGTCTTAGACAGGGATGTGTAATGTCACCATGGTTGTTTAATTATATTTATAGATGGGGTTGTAAAGGAAGTAAATGCTAGGGTGTTTGGGAGAGGGGTGGGATTAAATTATGGGGAATCAAATTCAAAATGGGAATTGACACAGTTACTTTTGCTGATGATACTGTGCTTATGGGAGATTCTAAAAGAAAAATTGCAAAGGTTAGTGGATGAGTTTGGGAATGTGTGTAAAGGTAGAAAGTTGAAAGTGAACATAGAAAAGAGTAAGGGTGATGAGGGTGTCAAATGATTTAGATAAAGAAAAATTGGATATCAAATTGGGGAGGAGGAGTATGGAAGAAGTGAATGTTTTCAGATACTTGGGAGTTGACGTGTCGGCGGATGGATTTATGAAGGATGAGGTTAATCATAGAATTGATGAGGGAAAAAAGGTGAGTGGTGCGTTGAGGTATATGTGGAGTCAAAAACGTTATCTATGGAGGCAAAGAAGGGAATGTATGAAAGTATAGTAGTACCAACACTCTTATATGGGTGTGAAGCTTGGGTGGTAAATGCAGCAGCGAGGAGACGGTTGGAGGCAGTGGAGATGTCCTGTTTAAGGGCAATGTTGTGTGTAAATATTATGCAGAAAATTCGGAGTGTGGAAATTAGGAGAAGGTGTGGAGTTAATAAAAGTATAGTCAGAGGGCAGAAGAGGGGTTTTTGAGGTGGTTTGGTCATTTAGAGAGAATAGATCAAAGTAGAATGACATGGAAAGCATATAAATCTATAGGGGAAGGAAGGCGGGGTAGGGGTCGTCCTCGAAAGGGTTGGAGAGAGGGGGTAAAGGAGGTTTTGTGGGTAAGGGGCTTGGACTTCCAGCAAGCGTGCGTGAGCGTGTTAGATAGGAGTGAATGGAGACGAATGGTACTTGGGACCTGACGATCTGTTGGAGTGTGAGCAGGGTAATATTTAGTGAAGGGATTCAGGGAAACCGGTTTATTTTCATATAGTCGGACTTGAGTCCTGGAAATGGGAAGTACAATGCCTGCACTTTAAAGGAGGGGTTTGGGATATTGGCAGTTTGGAGGGATATGTTGTGTATCTTTATGTGTGTATGCTTCTAGACTGTTGTATTCTGAGCACCTCTGCAAAAACAGTGATAATGTGCGAGTGTGGTGAAAGTGTTGAATGATGATGAAAGTATTTTCTTTTTGGGGATTTTCTTTCTTTTTTTTGGGTCACCCTGCCTCGGTGGGAGACGGCCGACTTGTTGAAAAAAAAAAAAAAAAAAAACCAAAGGGAAAAAGGTTTATGGCTGCTGCATGTCAATTTGTCTCTGTTTATGAGTAGGGCAGATGGAAGCTTTGACTAGTGATTGGGAGGTGTTTAAATTCTAAATGCTTTTGCATATCCAAAGTAATCTGTGAAGACTTGTACAACTGGGTGAGGGATAACAGTTTCATGGCATGAATTGAAGATAGTGTCAGTGGTCCATCACTTGGGTCCTGTCACTGGTATGGAAATGCATTAGGTTATAGGCTTGGTCAGCGTAACTGACTGGCACTTTGTATCCCTTTTTAAGTGGGTGAAGTCACTGACTTGGCCAATATAAGTAACAAACTCTTTGTGTTATGTGACCATTCACTTATACATCAGGATATTATGTTTGCAAGGAAAAAAATAATGTCGATTCTTTTGGTTAGAAGATTTGTTAGTGGGTAAAGTTCGAAAATTGTTTTAGTGTGATTGTGCTGTGCCAGCGTCATCACTTGTCTGTTGTCTCTGGGTAAATGGCTTTAAACTACTCTGCCCTTGGTGTGTGGACAATCTAGTTATCTTCATTGAATTAGGGGTGAAGCTATTTCCAGAGTCAAGATCATGGTGAGGTCTAAAGGTACCAGGAGCATGTAGATTGCTGGTACCTTGTTTGGGCAACAAGCAATTACCAGAAAGCAGTTCTGGATTTTGAGGATGGGAGGTCCATGGCAATACTGAGGTTGATCAAGAGTGCCTCAGTTACACTGGATACAAGAGTATAAAAAAAAAACAAAAAAACAAAAAAAAAAAAAAAAATAGATCCACACACCCATTCTAAATCATGGTCACCTCCAGTGTGATAGGTGTTGCTGTTATAACCAAGAAACCACCTCTTATCTATATAACCAAAAACCTACCTCTTACCCTAGTTTTCACAAAGTGAGAAATTTCCTTGCTAATAAGGCCAAGTCTAGATATTCATTCCAAAAAGATAAAAAGTCCAGTTCCTCAGATGAACCCCTTCACTGCAGCAAGGGACACACAAGAGAAGAAAAAATGTGTACAGCGAACGTGTGGAAGCCATAATCTCAAGACAATCCCAATCGTCATTGTAGTTAAGCACTAACTAGGGTGGATGCCCTAGCATGGAAAAAACTAACCAATGTGACCCCAAAGTATCTGTGGAGTTTGCAATCCCTGAGAATAAGGTGGATGCTTGGAGAAAGAGGAACAGGAAAGATCATGTTCATAGGGAAGCACTAAACCCATAAGAGTCGCATAAAGTCCCTAGGAAATGGTGGACAGTCAGTTTTGATCCAGGAAAAGGGAGGGTAAATCAAATTCCTTGGACTAAAACCCTTCACCAGCATCAAGGCACTTCCTGTGAAGGGAAGGAGGGAGTAGGGAAAATTATGAGCTGATTAAGAGATAAGTGGCTAAAATTCAAACACATTATGCTTGTCTTGGACCTTTTATTATATGCTCTTAGATCTGAATTCTCACAGCTTTCTGCTAATCACTCATCACATTCATACAATTGCCAACCTTCACCTTAATCAACACTCAATCACAAAGAAACTGACGTGTTCAACAAAATAATTTGTCAGTACTACTTCCTCTCACGATGAGAATGGCTATGATTTATTGTTAACTGAATTCCAACAAGGCCCTGACTCTGATGAACTTCACAGCACTGAAGTGCTCAAGTATTAATAAATATAACTTTGTAACTAATAAACATGACAAGAACAGAATATATAAAAACAATATTTTAATTTACTATTAAAGGAACAAATTAATACATACAACACTTAACTTTTAGATTCTTTCCATGGTCTTCCACATTATGCCCTTTAAATGCTAATAAAAGATAAAAATTTCTCTAATTCAAACTACTGCAATTCATAGATTTACCAATGTACTGAATTAAACTTTTAATAATAATAATGTACATCTTGTGTCCAATATAAAGCAAATGCTTAAAAATTATTATCTCAACTGTATCACATTTTTCACAAAATCTCAATTTTACTTGCCCAAGGGCAGCACACAATTTAAATTATTATTATTCAGTAATGGTAAAGTGTTACTTTTTGATATGGCTTTAGATAAAAAATGAAGTTCAGCCCTTGAAAAACTGCAAACATATACAGCATGAAATTATGATCACCTTAATAGTCCTTAGATAAACTACCCTTGAAAATCCCAGATGCAAAGAATAAATCAGTATTTATGTATCTACCTGTATATGCCTAATGGTTTATTATCAAAATTTTATTTATCCAATATTTTATTAACAATCCTGGCCAATTTCTTGATTTACTATATAATGAAAAAATGATCTACATTGAGTGTTCTTACTGTCAATGACAACTTGACTGGTTATTCTAGTGTAAAAGATAACTGCTGTTTTTACAATTCAATACTAATGCTTCCAGCATTCAGTCCTTAAGTGCAATGAAATCTCTGAACAAGATGCAACAACAATGTCAAACCTTCATGGGAAAAATATCTGATAATGATTTACATTGAGAAGTATCAAAATGGTTAAAAATAAATAAGTACACCTTATGAAACTTATGCAGGAAAACTAGAATAATTTGTGTATGTATGCCCTGGGTACACAAACAAAATACAAAAATATATTAAACAATGTATGCCCTGGACACACAAATTTAATATACAAAAATATATCAAACAAATATTTCAATGGTGACATTCATTAAAAACAAAAGGTTTTAGTATTGCCAGCCCTTTAAGAAGTCAGATCCTATTATTATTAACAGAATATTTAAAAATGGAGAAAATGGTAGCTATTGCCCAGCAATTTGTAACAAAAGCTGTCAGTGAGAGTTTAGAGCAGTGGTGCCATGAAAAATACAAATAGTAAAAAAATGCTTTAACTGAATTGTCACCTTTAAATTTTAGCAATGCTTTAAGATCAACAATAAAGAGGTCAACTTATAGGTCATTCATTGGGCACAAATCTACTTATAAAAAATAAAAATTTGGCAGCAAAAGCCCATAGTCTTATTTTGTGCCAGTCATAATACTCATCCCGTTGACTGCCTACAGTGACAAGGACGGGTCACAGGAATACACATGCTGTTAGCTGCATTTATTCCTGTTTCATCTTCTCACTTATCTTTCTTCCCTGACTTCTTATCCTCTGTTGTCTCAGTGCCTTCCTTTTCCTCTAAACTGGGATGATCTTCATACCTGTGAATAAATAAATTTTCTAGAGCAAATTTTCAACAAATAGATCTAAAAGGTTAATTTTACTTGTGTCTAACTAAATACAACTATTTCTGCAAGATGAAATACATTAGCACAAAGCAAAATTGAGTTACTAAGAAAAACTATTATACAGGTCGGCCATCACTAATCGGCATCATTGGGACCTGCAGTGTGCTGGATTAGCAAGTTTGCTGGATTACAGAGTGGTTAGGTTAGAATACACTTAATTAACCTATCAATAGAGAGACTTTCTGCTAGGTCTTCCTCATTTTCATCACTGCTTTCTCCTCCACTAGCTTGCTGCTGTGGATTTACAACCATCTGTACAATTTCTGAGTCAGTATAATGATGAAATCTGAAATTATGCTAGCCGAAATTAGTGCTGGATTACTGATGGAACCAGAGAACTGATTGCCGAATTAGTGATGGCTGACCTGTACCACTTAGTTTCAGAAATTGAAGTAGTATCATAGTATAGTTAATTTTTGATAATCACAATCCTAAACAACAACAAAAGGATGTAGGAAGATAATAAGGAGGGGAAAAATAAGGAAGAGACAATAAAAAAATCTTGAAAGCGGCACAACTTACTGTAACAGAGCCTTGAAATCCCCTTTGAGGAAAGCCAAAAGTACTGGTGCAGAAAGGCAGGCTGGCACAAGGTACAACAGAGCTGGCTGGGCATGTTTGAAAACATGCATGACAAAGATTGTCATCATAAGGCCAGCAAAGTAGGCTGCAAATGTAACCTTGAAATATGTATTGGATCCTCGATTTAAACTGAAAAAGAATATTTAAATTGAAACAAAATCCTAAACTTTTTTATTTTGTTACACTAATCTGCCAATTTTACATGATACAATGTACAATAACCAAAAGTGTCTCGGAATTCAAGCATAGGAATAGAAGTACATTTATTCAAACTAAACTTTTTTATTCATCAGCATTAAGCAATTTTCTATTTTCAGTAAGTAGATGAGTAGTTCCAAAAAACTGTATATTAAGGCTTAATCATAACTGAAAAAATAAATACATGTAATTACAGGAAATATTTCTAAATTTAGCAAGTATGAAGCAAAATAGAACGATTTCAAGAATGTATAAATCTGTAGGGGAGGGAAGGCGGGGCAGGGATCGACCTAGGAAAGGCTGCAAGGAAGGGGGTAAAGTGGGTTTGTGTGCAAGGGGCTTGGACTTCCAGCAAGCATATGTGAGCATGTCAGATAGGAGCAAATGGAGACAAATAGTTTTTAGGACTTGATGTACTGTTGGAGTGTGAGCAAGGTAACATTTATGAAGGGATTCAGGGAAACCGGCAGGCCAGACTGGAGATGGAAAGTACAGTGCCTGCACTCTGAAAGAGGGGTGTTAATGTTGCAGTTTTATAACTGTAGTGTAAGCATGCCTCTGGCAAAACAGTGATGGAGTGAATGATGGTGAAAGTTTTCCTTTTTCAGGCCTCCTACCTTGGTGGAAAACAGGCTGTGTGTTAACCCTTTCAGGGTCGACAGGGCCTCTCAGAGACTTGTTCTCAGGGTCAGCCAAATTTAAAAAAAAAAAAAATCTCATGAAAAGATAGAGAATCTTTTCCCGATCATAATGACACCAAAAGTATGAAATTTGATTGAACATTAAAATGGTATAAAATACTGACAGGTTGTTAGGTAAGACACACATGCAACAGTTAGGTATCTTTATTTTGAAACGTTTTGCCTACACAGTAGGCTTCTTCAGTTGAGTACAGAAAAGTTGATAGAAGCAGAGGAGACTTGAAGACGATGTAATCAGTCCATCGACTGAAGAAGCCTACTGTGTAGGCGAAACATTTCGAAATAAAGATACCTAACTGTTGCAAATGTGTCTTACCTAACAACCTGTCGGTATTTTATACCATTTTAATGTTCGTCAGACACTGCAACACAAGGGTAACTTGGTACAGACCTGAAATCAACTTCGACAACCTCTACTAGTGAGAATGGCTGGATTTGAGAGGGACCTGACCTCCCAACGTCTACGTTCTTACCTCTACTAGTGACCTATGTCTCACCTCCTGGCACTACATAAGGCTCCATCCTATCACTTCCACTCCATATTGTTTCAGACTATGGAACAATACCCTTCTCCAGACTGAGGGACCGACCACCTCAAAACTTCAAGGGTGATGGACTGATTACATCGTCTTCAAGTCTCTTCTGCTTCTATCAACTTTTCTGTACTCGACTGAAGAAGCCTACTGTGTAGGCGAAACGTTTCGAAATAAAGATACCTAACTTTTGCATATGTGTCTTAACTAACAACATGAAATTTGATGAAAAACTTACGGAATTATGCTCTCGCAAAGTTAGCAGTCTCAACGATGTTGATACGTCGGTGATTTTGCCCACTTTGAGCCCTATTTTCAGCCAATTCCAGTGTACTTGTCGACAAAAATCATAACTATTTCGCTAGAACTCCATTTTTTCTATCGAATGAGTACAAGAAACCACCCATTTACCGATTTCAACTATCCAATACAGTGGTCAGAATTTAGCAATTTTGCCAATTTGACACAAACTTCAAAAGATGCCAATTTCCGAAGAGTCCAGAATAAACAAGAAAGACATACCTGGCACTAAAATAACATTTTCTCTGTTCATTAGTCATGTCCCCATGCCCCTCTTACATTCTTTTGCTTTCCACTTTGAATTTTTATTCTCACAAAAAAATAGAAGATTTACTGTTATGCAGACTACTGCATTAGTGTGGAAATGGTATAAATAATATCAGCGCATTTGTGAAAGAATATTAGACACACCAGTTGACGTGTATTGGATGCATAGCATGATTTGTTTACTTTTGAACTCTGGTAAAAATCGAACATTTCTGCTACTTTGAGCTCAATTTCAAGGTACTTTTCTTTGTAAAACCAGTCAAAATCATCTCAATTTCTGTAATATGTCTTCCATTCTATAAAATGAGACCAGGAAAACTAGAATACAACAACAAATACCATATGAAAATACAGTGCAAAGTTGCTGTTTTAATCCAAAAACACGGTCAAAGTTTTTTTTTTTTCATTTTGCACTGTGTGCTGCAGGATTTTTTTTATACTGTGCACACTGACCACACAGACCCATTCTTTCATATGTAGGCCTACCAGCTTTCTCTCACTAAATTTGAGGGCGCTAGAATTTAGGTGTACTAGTACGTCAAAAACCCTGGTGCGTAAGCCGTACTAGTACAGCCGAAACCCTGAAAGGGTTAATAATGATAATAAAAAAATCTAAATTTGCCTTAAATACTCCTTGTGTAAAATATCTTAATACAACAGATGATTTTCAAATAATTTATGATTTACTGAGCTAATATTTTCAGGACCTTTTCACATCAATTTTTGAAAACTACCACTGTCCTAACAATCACCATCATTAGAGACTTACCTATGATCAAAGCGTAGTAAGAGTGCAATGAATATGCCAGGAATAACAATGTCTCCTAAGCCCAGCATAGCAAAATTGTCAGCCTCAAGGCCCTTCTCCAGCAGGTCTTGAGGAAACACCACTGTTAGGTAAACAAAGCAGTTTCTTAAGGTCAAAGACAAAATCAGTTTTATTTGGCTCAAGAAAAATACAAAAAACAGATCCAGACATAAGGTACCCAGTTAAGTGTTGGTTATACATATATACATATTAAGTGGTATCATACAACAGCTTTAAAACAAAAGCCAAAGTAATTTTGAATAAAAAAAGATGTTCAGAAACAACTTACATTTTATAGGTGCCTCAAAGGATCTGGCTACAGTGACCATAACATTGGTCCCAAAGACCCAGAAGACATCATATACAAAAAGCCCAATTAAGAGGAGAGCTCCAGTTTGGATGTTGTTTAAGTGCAGAAGCTCCACACCATTAATGGCAAATGCCAAACCAAGAAGGTTGTTTGCAATCCAATGCTGCAATGCAAATGAAATTCACCAAGTAATAAAATTTGATAAAATGCTATTGGCATATACAGTGAAACCTTGGTTTTCGTAGGATTTGGTTTTTGACAACTTTTTCCGTCAAAATTTTGTCCCAGTTTTCGTACATCACCTCGGTTTTCGTAGAGGTGACAATGGTCCGTACCCAACGCATCCACCTGCCTGCCCACGTCACTCGGCCACTCAAGCACTGAGTGACTCAGTCTGCCTTTGTTTATTGTTGAGTGAGCATCACCCCGCTCATTCAGCTGAAACATTTCGTAATAATCCACTGTTTTTTGTGCTTGTTTGAGTGCTACTGCTAAATAAGCCAACATGAGGCCAAAGAAAGTTCCGAGTGCCAGCCCTTTGAAGAAAATGGCGAGAAACATAAAATTAAAATTTAAAAAAAAAAAGAAGAAAAAAAGTCATAGGCAAGTATGAAAGTGGTGTACAGGTGGCCGATCTCACTAGGATGTACGGGAAATCCGCACCAACGATCAGTTCCATCCTGGCGAAGAAAAAAGAAATCAAGGAAACTGATGTTGCTAAGGGGATAAAATGTGCTAACGAAACCGAGATCGCAAACAATCGAAGATGTTGAGTTGCTGTTGTTGGTGTGGATCAATGAAAAACAGTTAGTGGGAGATAGTGTTTTGGAGTCGATAATATGCGAAAAGACAAGGTAGTTGCATGCGGATCTCATAAAGAAAAGATTAACCCTTAACCTGTAAACGGTCCAAACGTATATATACGTTCTCTCGCGTAGTGCCCCAAATTTTTTGAGGAAAAAAAATAGCTTTTTTTTTAATAGGAAAAAAGAGCATATGGTACCCAGGCATCCCCAATTATTTTAATATGGCACACAGTGAGTGCGCACACCCATTCTCTCATGTCTAGGCAACTCAGGTTTATCGTGGCAATGTTGAATGCATGACAAATAAAACGTATATATACATTTGGGGCACTAGCAGTAAAAACGTATATACTGTATACGTTTGGACCATTTACGGGTTAAACTGTCCAAACGTAGATCTATGTTCACATGCGTAGAGCTCTGCCCTTTATTTTCTCCATTTGAAAGAATGTAAAAAAAACATAGATCTACATACGGAGTGCTACGCACGTGAATGTAGATCTACTTTTGGACAGTTTAAGGACATGTGTGCAAAGTGGAGTGCACTGCAAAGTTTTGTGGAGAAATATCACCTTAAAGCTGTTGTAAGCCATGTCTGCAACATCTTCAGTGACAATGCCTTGTCCCACTTTAGGCAAATCTTCAAGAGATGCCAGAAACATACCTAACTGGACAGATTTTTTGTGTGACAGGGGTACAGTGACTCTCAAGCTGGTCCTAGTGCCAGTAAAAGACAGAGGGAAAGTAACCCCAGATAGGGCCTTGATACCTGAAGTCCTTATGGAAGAGGATTCCCCTTCCAATCAATAACCTCCCCCCTCCTCGCCATCTTCCGTAAGCCAACAAGAGTCTTCAATAAAGGTAAAAGTGATGTCAAATATTCATTTATCTGTTTCATTAGTCACTTATATTTATTTCTCATTGTTTTCTATATGTAAAACTATAGTTATTCTCCATAAAATGTATTTTTTGTTAATATTTTTGGGTGTCTGGAACGGATGAATTGGATTTACATTATTTCTTATGGGAAATATTGCTTCAGTTTTTGTACAATTTGGTTTCTGTCAGACTTTCTGGAATGAATTAATCACGAAAACCAAGGTTCCACTGTAAATATAAAGTATGGTCAGTGATCACTACTGAAAAATGACAATGAAACTAAGAAAAACTTAAAATTCTAATTTTCATATTGCTACTTACTACATACTGTGTTTGCAACTATACAACAAGAAATACCTTTTGAGCCCTAACCTTTTTCAGGAGGTACCACACTCCCAGCAGGGCACACACTCCCATGCATACGAGGTCATAGGATGTAAACCCGTAATTTATGATGTAATCTTTTTTGTCTTTATCTCCTTTCATTAAGTGAAGATGATAGGTTTCGAAAGGTACTGATGCAGGTACTAGGCCAGAGATTAATGGGCTGAAATAGACATATATTTTATTACTTCTGTATATGAATTTTTAATAATTATTAAACACAATCTAACCAAAGTGTACTGAAAAACATTAGTGCAAATTTTTATTCATTTGACAACTACTGCAAATTGGTGGTTTAGAAAATATATTCCCTGTTTATAGTAATATTCATTCCAAGTAATTAAAAAAAATACTATGTTAGGTATTTTAAGACCTATTTTTTACTGTAAAGTAACATGACACTGACACACACACACACACACACACACACACACACACACACACACACACACACACACACACACACACACACACACACACACACACACACACACAAACCTAACCAAACACATGAGCTCATAAATCCCCCCACCACACACACACACATTTTTACGACAAGCTGAAGCAGCTAGAACATCCCAACAGGATAAAAACAAAATGGGATCTCAAAAGGGAGGACGTAAAGGCAAGGGAACCGATGATGGCTGGTCGGAAAAGGAAGAATGGGTAGAACGGCTCAAGAACAAAATGGAACAACAATGGGAGAAAAGGTTAAATGAGCTTTGCAATAGCATGTTAGAGCAAATATCTGCAGAGCAAGAAGTGGGAATCACGAGCTGTAGTAGCTGAGGCAAAGATACAGAGATTGGAGAAAGAAATGGATGTGCTGAAGCAGGATCTAAATATGAGGTCCAAAAGGAGCAAGATGACTGAAATGGGAACATCAGCAGGCAGCGAGGGGACTGAAGGAGGGGATCTAAGCAGTCTTTTGCAGCAGTAATATCAGGCCATCATGGTGTCTGGGAGATGATTAGGGAAACATCAAAGGAGATGCTTAAATCAGATCCAGAGATACAGAGGGAAAAGAAATGGGAAGAGGAGAGGGAGAGATCAACAATTATTCACGGGCTTCAGGAGGCTGAAGGGCAGACCTATGATGAAAGAAAGCATTGGGAGAAAACAGAGATTAAGAACATCATTGCAATAACAGGAGAGAGGGACATGTCTCAGGTAGAAAATTTTCACAGACTTGGGGGGTATTCGAGGGAAAAAATTGACCAATCAGATTGACATTCAAGACAGATATGGTACGGAACAGGATACTACAACAGAAACCACTGTTAAAGGACTCTCCAGATTATCAAAAAGTGTTCTTCAATCGAGACAGAACACGAAAGGAAAGGGAACAACTGAAAGTGAGAGCAAGACAGAACCAGTGGAAGGAAAGAGAGACAGGACAGGCAATGACAGACAGGAAAACTCAGCCTTTGGGGGAACATCAAACACAAATTCTTACAGAAACCTCTCAACCCATCACCACATATCAACCAAACACAGTAAACAGAAACGAACCTCACTCCATAGCCACCATCCCCCTAAGCACTAATTCCACAGTCACAGCAGCCTCCCATAAAATTGTGCCCTGACTCCCACCCTCCCAGCCTGCACCTTCCTCTTCCATCTCCCAAAATACAGTAATGGAAAGGAAGCTAAAGGTATGGTACACCAATGCAGATGGAATAACAAATAAGAGTGAAGAGTGACAAGAACGCATCACTGATGCATCACCTGACATTATAGCACTAACAGACAAAACTTACAGGGATGATAACAGATGCAATTTTTCCACCTGGATATCAGATTATGAGGAAAGACAGAGAACAGAGGAGGGGGAGGAGTAGCACTGCTCATAAAAAACCAGTGGAGTTTTGAGGAGATGGAAGGAATGGAAAGAAGGGAAACAGACGACTTCATTGTAGGAACACTTCAGACTGGTGGTCCAAAGATGATAGCAGTGATGTATAACTCACCACTTAACAGCAGGAGAGCAAGAGAAGAGTATGATGTGTGCAATAGGGCAATGGTGGATACACTAGCTGAAGTGGCCAGGAGGGCTCATATGGGTAGGACAAAATTGCTTATAATGGGGGATTTCAATCATAAAGAGATTGACTGGGAAAACCTAGAGCCACATGGGGGACCAGAAACATGGAGGGCTAAGATGTTGGAGACTGTATTGGAGAACTTTATGCATCAACATGTTAGGGATACAACCAGAGAGAGAGAGGATGTTGCAGCAAGGCTGGATCTCATTCACCTTGAATAGTTCAGACATAAGGGATATCACCCACGAAAGACCCCTTGGCTCTAGTGATCATGACGTCCTGAGGTTTGAATATCTTGAGTTAACAGTGGAGAATGCTGTACCATGAGAACAAAGAGAAACCAAACTTCAAAAAAGGGGACTACATAGGAATGAGAAGTTTCCTGCATGAAGTGCAGTGGGAAAGAGAACTAGATGGAAACACAGTAAATGAAATGATGGAAATAGTAACCACTAAGTGCAGGGAGGCAGAGGAAAGGTTCATACCAAAGGGCAACAGAAAAAATGGCAAGACCAGAGTGAGCCCATGGTTTAATTGGAGGTGTAAAGAGGCCAAAGCCAAGTGTGTGAGAGCATGGAAAAGGTATAGAAGGCAAAGGACTCAAGAAAACAAGAAGATGAGCAGAAGAACCAGAAACGAATATGCAAGGATAAGGAGAGAGGCCCAGAGGCAATACGAGAACAACATAGCATCAAAAGCCAAATCTGAACCAAAGTTGTTATACAGTCACATTAGGAGAAAAACAACAGTCAAGGACCAGATAATCAGGCTGAGGAAAGAAGGAGGGGAGCTCACGAAGAGTGACCAAGAAGTATGTGATGAACTAAACAAAAGATTTAGAGAAGTATTTACAATAAGAATCAGGAATGCTTCCAGCAAACTGTGGAGGTAGGGTGCACCAGCAGGCGCTGGACACAATACACATAACCAAGGAAGAGGTGAAGAAACTGCTAGAAGAACTCGATACCTCAAAGGTAGTGGGCCCAGATAACATATCTCCATGGATACTGAGAGAGGGAGCAGAGGAACTGTGTGTGCCATTAGCAGCAATCTTCAGTAAATCTATCGAAACAGAGCAGTTGCCTGAGGCGTGGAAGACAGCACATGTAGTTCCAATTTTTAAGAAAGGGGGCAGACAGGTAGCATTAAACTACAGACCAGTGTCACTGACTTGTATAGTATGTAAAGTCATGGAAAAGATTATCAGGAAAAAAGTAGTGGAACACATTGAAAAGATTGGGCTCATACATGACAGTCAGCATGGCTTCAGAGATGGGAAATCCTGTGTCACAAATTTACTTGAGTTCTACGATAAGGTAACAGAAGTAAGACAGGAGAGAGGGATGGGTAGATTGCATCTTTTTAGATTGCAAGAAGGCTTTTGACACAGTACCACACAAGAGACTGGTGCAAAAATTTGAGGAGCAGGCAGGAATAAAGGGGAAAGTACTGCAATGGATCAGGGAATACCTGACAGGAAGGAAACGTGTGTTGGTATGTGCTTATGTGTCGGAGTGGGTGAATGTGTCGAGTGGGGTTCCACAAGGTTCAGTCCTAGGCCCGGTGCTGTTTCTTGTATACGTGAATGACATGGTGGAAGGAATAGATTCAGAAGTGTCACTGTTCGCTGATGATGTGAAACTGATGAGGAGAATACAAGTGGGAGAGGATCAGTTAAGATTACAAGGGGATCTGGACAAACTACAAGTATGGTCTGACAAATGGCTCCTGGAGTTTAACCCCAGTAAGTGTAAGGTCATGAAGATTGGGGAAGGACACAGAAGACCGCAGATGGAGTACAGGTTAGGAAACCAACAACTGCAAACGTCAGCTAAAGAAAAGGATCTTGGGGTAAGCATCATAACGAACATGTCCCCTGAGGCACACATCAATCAAATAACTGCTGCAGCATATGGGAGACTGGCAAACCTGAGATTGGTGTTTAGACATCTGAGTAAGGAGTCATTCACGACATTGTACACAGTGTACGTAAGGCCTATACTGGAATATGCAGCACCAGTATGGAACCCTCACTTAGTCAAACACATCAAGAAATTGGAGAAAGTGCAAAAATTTGCAACACAATTAGTCCCGGAACTGAGGGGTATGTCTTATGAGGAGAGGTTAAGGGAACTCAACCTGATGACACTAGAGGATAGGAGGGATAGAGGGGACATGATAACGTATAAAATACTAAGAGGCATTGACAACGTGGACAAGGATCGAATGTTTCAGAGATGGGATACAGAAACACGGGGACACAATTGGAAACTGAAAACCCAGACGAGTCATAGGGATGTTAGAATGTATTTCTTTAGTCTTAGGGTTGTCAGGAACTGGAATAATCAGGAGAGTGAAGTAGTGGAAGCAAGTTCCATAAATAACTTCAAGAAGAGGTATGACAAATATCATGGAGCAGGGAGAGAGTGAATCAGTATTGACCAGTGAAGAGGCGGGGCTAGGAGCTATGACTCGACCCCTGCAACCACATATAGGCGAGTACACACACTAGAATTACTTACCCAAAAACATGAGACAAGGCCAGCACTCCCAAAACAAAAAAGTATGAAGAAAGTAAGAGGTTGATATATTCCTTGGAGAAAACCTGAAAGAAATAAGGCAAAGGTACATAATGGCTTTATTACATAATTTACCTTACCAACTATTTAGGTTTTAATAATTGCTAATTAATGTTGAGCTTTGCTTAGAAGTCTGCCATAATGAATCATGATGTCACTATACTTCTACAAAGACTGGCTGAATCAATGATGCTGACTGTTTCTTCTTTTTTTGGATCCCCCAATCTTGGTTGGAGATGACTAACGTGTTGAAAAATGAAAGGTAAAATAAATAACAGGTACAGCAATAATAGATAATAGAAAAAAATAACGTTTGAAAGTGCTAAACGAACTATCCAAACTATATGCATATGATTATAATCTTTTGTTGGATGGAATTAATTTAGATGAACAATTAAAAAAAAAAGTGCATTTTAAAGAGAAAGTCCTACTTTTGAAAGGATGTACAGTAATGTATTGTATTTAGCCAATTTACAAGTTTTCACAAATATAAAACCACAAGAGATAATTCTGCTGAATACAAAGAAAAAATAATATGAAGCAGGTCAGCAAGCTGAATATGTAATACAAAGAAATGAGATGCAAGTATTCAGAACAGCAAATATTTGAAAATAAATCATGGCATAAAATGAAAGTATGACTTCATAATTAGAGAAGAAAGTATAAACTGTAGATCAAAGGGATTAAAAATAGAGAACTACATTTTATGCAGGAACAGAAACTGAAGCCAAACAAGGCAATACTACTTGGAATGTATTATACAATGATTTATAGAGATAGTCAACAGAGGAATTTTTAATGGTACTCGACTGATATTAGCAGCATTAGAAGTACCAATAATTACCAAACAATACTGTACCTACCCATTAAGTCCTCAATGACAGTTTCACCGAGACATACCGTGAATATTATATAGAGGCCAAAGAGAGCACACGATGCTATAACAGGGAACATTGCTGCATCTTTTGAAGTCATTGTGTCAACTTTCTCTCCAGATGCCTGAAATAATTAAGATACAGATAATTAAGGTAAAGTACTGTAATAACTGTGCAGTGGAATAACTCCATTAATTTTCTAATAATTTTCTTGTTAAATTTACTCAGGAGAAAAAATTACAAACACTAAATGAAATACAGTGGACCCTCAGTTAACAGCCGTTCCGTTTATCGGCCAACTTGGTTATCGGCTGTTTTTTTAGCCTCCGGTTATCGGTGTTATTTCGCTTACTGGCCGTATTGGATGCATCCACCACTAGCCGCTTTCACGTTCCTGAGTCAGTGTGGCTGCATCTCTGGGTGAGTGAGGAAGCTTCTGCTCATTCATCCAAACATTTCGCTATAATCCATTGTTTTTGGTGGTTATTAAGTGCAACTGCAAAATATGTAACCATGGCCCCAAAGAAAGTGCCTAGTAAAGTTTCTTTGGTAAAGAAAGTGAGAAACACGATATAATTCATGGCAGGGAGTGTAGCAGACAGGGAGAGAGTGTAGCAGACAGGGAGGGAGTGTAGCAGAGAGGCAGTGAGTGTAGCAGGGAGGCAGTGAGTGTAGTAGGGAGGGAGGGAGTGTAGCAGGGAGGCAGGGAGTGTAGCAGGGAGGCAGGGAGTGTAGCAGGGAGGCAGGGAGCATAGCAGGGAGGCAGGGAGTGTAGCAGGGAGGCAGGGAGTGTAGCAGGGAGGCAGTGAGTGTAGCAAGGAAGTATAGAGGCAAGGATTGTAGCAAGCATGCAGGGAGTGTAGCAGGCAGGGAGGGAGAGTAGCAGGGAGGCAGGGAGTGTAGCAGGCAGGCATAGAGGCAAGGGGTGTAGCAGGAAGGCAGTGAGTGTATCAGGAAGACAGGGAGTGTAGCAGGCATGCAGTGAGTGTAACAGGCATGCAGTGAGTGTAGCAGGAAGACAGAGTGTAGCAGGCATGCAGGGAGTGTAGCAACATTTATATGCGATGTATGGTTAACCTTTTCAGGGTTGACAGGCCCTCTCAGACTTGTTCTCAGGGTCGGCCAAATTTCAAAAAAAAAAAAAAAAAAAAAAAAATCTTATGAAAAGATAGAGAATCTTTTCCCGATCATAATGGCAACAAAAGCATGAAATTTGATGGAAAACTTACGGAATTATGCTCTCACGAAGTTAGCGGTCTCAACGATGTTTACGCATCGGCAATTTTGCCCACTTTGAGCCCTATTTTCGGCCAATTCCAGTGTACTTATCGACAAAATTCATAACAATTTCACTAGAACTCTAGTTTTTCTATCGAATGAGTACAAGAAACCACCTATTTACCGATTTCAACTATCCAATACAGTGGTCAGAATTTAGCAATTTTGCCAATTTCACACAAATTTCAAAAGATGCCAATTTCCGAATAGGGTCCAGAATAAACAAGAAAGACATTCCTGGCACTAAAATAACATTTCCTCTGTTCATTAGTCATGTCCCCATGCCCCTCTTACATTCTTTTGCTTTCCACTTTGAATTTTTATTCTCACAAAAAATAGAAGATTTACTGCTATGCAGACTACTGAATTGGTGTAGAAATGGTATAAATATTATCAGCGCACTTGTGAAAGAATATTAGACTCACCAGTTGACGTGTATTGGATGCATAGCATGATTTGTTTACTTTCGAACTTTGGTAAAAATCGAACATTTCTGCTACTTTGAGCGCAATTTCAAGGTAGTTTTCTTTGTAAAACCAGTCAAAATCATCTCAATTTCTGTAATATGTCTTCCATTCTATAAAATGAGACCAGGAAACCTAGAATACAACAATAAATACCATATGAAAATACAGTGCAAAGTTGCTGTTTTAATCCAAAAACACAAAGTTTTTTTTTCTCATTACGCACTGTGTGCTGCAGGATTTTTTTTATACTGTGCACACTGACCACATAGACCCATTCTTTCATATGTAGGCCTACCAGCTTTCTCTCACTAGATTTGAGGGCACTAGAATTTAGGCGTACTAGTACGTCAAAAACCCTGGTGCGTAAGCCATACTAGTATGGCCAAAACCCTGAAAGGGTTAATAATAGTCACTCTTGGGCACATTAAATGTCTTATTTTAGGTTAATATTGACATTTTCATTAATCCATATACATGTATCATATTTTCTTCCAAATTATATAAGAATCATGTTCCATAGCATATCGAGTGGAGAGTCGGGTGGAGAGTAAACATTACATTTTCTCTGATTCAGTGTTAGAGAAAACTGTGAATCTAGCATTGTGCCAAGTAACCGTCCATCATATGCGTTTGTTTACAATTCTCGGCATGAATTATTCATTACTACTCCCTTTGTTTATGATGGTATCTAAAGGTAGTTATTAGAAACAATTCAACTCAGTGAACATGGTAATAATCTGGCTGTGTAGTGTAGTCCAGGGGGGGGCTACACACATGTACTGTACCTACATCTACCGCTGCCTACATTGACTTCATACAAATAAATACTACTCACCTCTCGCCCTACATTAACCCTTTCAGGGTCCAAAGGCCAAATTTCAAAGTGCACACCAGTGTCCAAGAATTTTCAAAAAATAATTTTATTTTTATGAAATGGTAGAGAATCTTTTTCTGAAGGTAATAACACAAAAAGTAAGAAATTTGATGGAAAATTGACGAAATTATGCTCTCGTGAATTTTGATGTGTCAGTGATGTTTATGCATTGGTGATTTTGCCGACTTTGACTCCCATTTTAGGCCAATTATATTATACCAGTCGACCAAATTCTTAGCCATTTCACTAGTATTATTTCTATTCTATTGACTAAGCACAAGAAATAGCCAAGTCAACTGTTTCAACTACAAAATAAAGTGATCAGAAACTGGTAATTTGGCCAATTTAATGCAAAGTTCAAAATACAGTGGTCCCTTGATAATTGTCCAGCTCAATAGTTGTCCTTTTCGGAAATCATCGCGTTATTTTTGTCCAAGCATTGGCTCACAAATGGTTGGTTGACTCGCTAATCGTCGTTCGTCCTGGACGCGTACTCACAGCTCTGAGCCGCCTCGGCCTCCCTTCCCAGCCAGTGTGCCATTGTTTACCAGTGAGCGACTTCCCCTCACTTGCTCATACGAAATATTTCATAATATTCCATTCATTTTAGTGCTTGCAAGTGCTAAACAAGCTACCATAGCTTCAAAGAAAGATTCTAGTGCCAAGCCTTTGGTAAAGAAGGTGAGAAATACGATTGAATTTAAGAAAAACATCATTGAACAATATGAAAATGGCGTACGTGGCCGAACTAGCCAGGACGTACAGTGGACCCTCGACCAGCGATATTAATCCGTTCCTGAGAGCACATCGTTAATCAAAATTATCGTTAGTCGAGTTAATTTTCCCCATAAGAAATAATGGAAATCAAATTAATCCGTGCAAGACACCCAAAAGTATTGAAAAAAAAAATTTTTTACCACATGAAATATTAATTTTAATACACACAAACTGAAGAAGACATGCACAGTTACATGACACTTACCTTTATTGAAGATCTGGTGATGATTGATGGGATGGGAGGAGGGGAGAGTGTTGATGGTGTTAGTGTTTAGAAGGGGAATCCCCTTCCATTAGGACTTGAGGTGGCAAGTCCTTTTTCGGGGTTACTTCCCTTCTTCTTTTAACCCTTTGACTGTCGCAGGCCCCTTTCTGAAACTGTCATTCTATGTCGATAAATGTTGGAAAAAAAAAAAATAATTATTTTTTCTTACGAAATGATAGAGAATCTTTTCCCGATGGTAATGACACCAAAAAGTTCGAAATTTGGTCGAAAACTCAGGGAATTACGCTCCCGCGAAATTAGCAGCCTCGGCAACATATGCGTATCGGCGATTTCGCCGACTTTGAGCCCTGTTTCCACCCAAATTCCGTTGTTCCAGTTGACCAAATTCATAGCTATTTCTTTAGAAACTCCATTTTATCTATCAGCTGAGTACAAGAAACCGCCCATTTACCAATTTGAACTACCCAATATAGTGGTCAGAAATTGGCAATTTGGCCAATTTCACGCAAATTAAGTTCCTATAATTTTGGATGGGGTTTTTCCCAAAGGTCTTTTTCATATCACTTTTTATGTTATGTAATCTGTTTTCACAACACAGTTTTTTTTGACCTTCTTATCAGGTTTGGCAAGGACTGACGAGTAACGTCTAGACAGTCTCTAGTTATCCGACCCATTCTGTATTGTTTTTCATATATGTGCTTTGTTGTTAATGGATTTAAGGATGCTGGGTGTTAGCCGGGGACTTTTCATTCTCTTAGCTTGATCTGTTTAGTTTTATTTTGGGCAATGCTTGTTATAGAGGCATTTTTTTTTTTTTTAGAAAATTATTAATAATTCATTGTATCTGATGTGTGAAAAGCTCTTTTTGCCAGTCAACATTATTCATAGCGTTATAAAGTTAAAAACAGTTGTTTTTATGTAGTCTAAAGGGTAATTTGTAGTGTTTTGGGGGCAATTTACCTAGGTTGGTTATAAAAAAAGGGTAGGGTAGGGGTCTAGGGTGTTGTCTGTGATTATGCCTAATTTTAAAGAGGAAGGTGTTAGCCCCAATGTGTCAAAAAGGAGAACTACCTGGAGATTTTGAAGGTTTTTGTTTTTGTTGGTAGCAACAAGTAGTTGCTCGTAGGTTTGTAAATTCAGTTATTTGGGGGTCTTGGTCATTAGTAGTTTATTTAAAATCTCCTGAAAGCAGCAAGGGGGTCTTATTTTTATGTGTATCAGTTATCAGTTCCTAAGTTTTCAAAAAATGAAAAATGTTTGACTGTGGTACTTGTAGATTTTATCATTGTGAGGGGTTTTTGCAGGTTTTTTTGTTTTAAAATTTTAGTAAAATATTTCTCCTGTTCATCCCTTTGCAAAATTATTGATACATTCAAGTTGATCCAGTGTACAGGTCTCCCTCAAATTCGCGAGGTTTAGGGGACAAACCTCGCGAATGTTAAAAACCTTTAAAAGTTTGGTGCCCCCCAATTTTTTGTGGGAAAAATATAAACAATACTGCC